AGCAGGAACAAGAGGCTGAAACTTCCACTGATCCTCCTCAGGGTCAAAGGTCAGTCTGTTCATAATCTTATTCTTCTCCTCTGGTGGAATGAAGTTCTCTATGATCAGATACCTGCGTATAACACAGAGGTTTATTTTGAAGTCAGACAAATGTCAAATGTCACTGACAAGTTTATGCTGTAGCTATTTAAGCTTCTACCACAAAGAGGGATAAATACTGAACCTGTTGCAAATTAGATGCACAAAATATTGCAGCACCGGTCAACAAAACTGCTATGCACCCTCTTTTAGGAAAACAGAGCCCACAGTATGCCCACTGATATGTGGAATGCAGGCAAGAATTCAACCCTGTCTATATACACAACATATTATGCTAAATAATGCTAATTATTCATACATAATGTTTTATATATATATACAAAGTGATAATAAGTGCCTTATGAAGCCATTGCTGGGATATTGTATTACAGTATAATGCCTATGTGTATAAGCATGTATGTATGTAATGTGGGTATGTGCTGCGTTTGCTGAGCCAGCAGGGCATATTTACTGATTCTGACTATTCTGGATGTTAGTTTGACTCACTTGAACTTGAGCTCTCTGGTGAGCTCGTTCTGTGTTTGTTCCAGCTCCTGTCGGCTCGTCACGTGCTCGTTGTTCACATCCTGGAGCTCTGCTTTGATGCACTGGAGTTTGGCGTACAGCTAGGAGGAGAGAGTGAAAGAGAGATGAACAGAGAGGGTGAGGAGGAGTGACGTCGCTCAGTGCAGTGTAGCCGCTGACGAAATGGTCTCCAACTCGCTGCAGTTTGGTTGCCCATAGCAACAGCACTGGAGGTACTGGTGTCTAGAGAGTTGGGCAGCCAATAGGAGCACACAAACATGGCAGCCCTCTCTCCTTTCAGCTCATTCCTCTTTCCTCCTGAGCTCCTGAGTGTTCACACTGTTTCTTTGACTTCACCCAGGGCTGGCTGTAGGGGCTCCACACAAGGGGGTTCATCCTTTAGACCTAGCCTTACAGATGGCACTGCAGTTCAAGTAAATTTTTATGCAAGCTGAATTTAAACATAGTCATTATAAAGATGTGAAGGAAACCCAAAAAAGCAGCTGGTCACTAATTCAAAACACATAATGTTGTGATGCCTTATTTTCTCAGTCTAGGAAAAAATCTTGACAAATAATGCTTAGAATTAGATTCATTGTTAAAAACAGCTCAGAATTGGAAATGGACAACTCACCTGGAGTCTTATTTAAATCTTTGCACAGCTCAAAAACAAACCATTTTAAAATAAGAGTGAAATGTATCACTCATAAAAGTGCTTCTCAGATAGATTAAAGGATTTCTTGACTCTTTCACCTTATTTAGACTGACTTTTCTTTATTTACAGTTTATCATCAATGTCAGGGCCGCTCGGCGGCCGCTGCCTCTCCTCTTTGTTTTCTCCGTTTTGTGGGCTCTGCGCCTCAGCTGTGTTGCGTTGCAGTGATTGGTGGCTGGTTTGTCGGCGCACACAGCTGGGGTGCATCCCGATGATTAGATCTTCTCATTATTTAAACCTCTGTCAGACGCTCCGCCGTCGCCGGAACATTACCTCTTACATACCTAACATTAGGTACTTATGCCTGACACTGCAGGACCGTCTGATGATGTGCGAAGAGAATGCTACGCTGACAGTAATCTGTGCGTTTTGGCTTGACTCTGTTCACACGACATAGGCGCTACACTACACACACACATTTGTAAGTATTATGGACCCTGTTTTTGTTGTTATGTTGAATTGTCGTACTTCTCCCCATTAAACCTTTATTTTGCACTAGCACCTGGGTCAGCCATCTTGTGTCCTACCCCTAGTCCTCCCTCACCCTCCTGGCGAGGGGGGCTAACCGTAACAATCAAGATAAGTGAGGCAACTGTTATTCAAGCATTGCATCTGAGAAGGATTTACAGTCAAGAAATAAAGCTAAAGCTGGACCTATACTTTACACAAAGGACACAATGGCAGTCCTTCTGTAGATACCTACAGGCTAGCTTTTATTTTTAGCCAAGTGTTAGATTTGATTGGTTGCTAGCCCCACTGCATCATTAGACAGATACACTGCATGTGACCAAGCTGTATTTGACCATCTGCTGTGTTTTACAAGATTTCCTTGGTACTGTTTGCCTTGTCTCATTAGTGAATAAGAAACTATTTCTGAGCAATAGCAGTGCTTGCATGCTTTTAATAACCATGACAGAGGTTGTGATTGTGGCACACAGAGGTTTTGCTCACAATCATCAAACTCTAGCAGCATCAGAAACTTGCTGAAGTCATCCTGTGGCTGGCTGATTTGCTGCAAAGAATTTCACTGTAAAAAAAACCCCCTGCTGTATGTAAAAGCTCACCTGTCTGACACGTAGAAAAACAGAACATCATTTACCCCTAGATGAAAACCCCTTGAAAACGTTGATACGTACATAACAATCCAACCTCTGCCAATTTGAAGATGCAGAGGATTGTTGCTGCTACTGTGTAGGGACTATTACAAACAGTTGTCAACAAAACAAACACAATGCTGACATTAGCGTGAGAGATAACAGAAAGCAGGCGTCTGATGCCAAAAGCTTGATTCGGCAATCCTTCCATACAGTAGCTATGGCATGACCATTTAATGCACCACTATAAATCTAGCTGAAGAAATACTCACTAACTACAGTATTATCAGCCTGTCCTTCATTAGTAAATGCTTGATTTTATCATGAAATTCAGTGAATTTGAAAGGGAGCAAAGACATGCAGAACTCTGACTGGATGTTTATAACAGATCATCAAAGGTTCATAATTTTTTCTCTACCAACGAGCTTGTTGGTAAAAGCTTCCCCCTGAGCTTTAAGTGCACAATATGAAATTTCAATCTCCTTCGTCTGAGTGGTGACACCATGCAGCGGGAGAGGGGTGTATGGCACATGTGTTGCTGTCAGTAGGGCATCAAGGGAGGAAAAATCAACACAGGCTCATTAGTCACATTGCCATCCATGCCCACACAATGGATTGTCTGGTGTTAGTCCTGCTGGCCAGGCCAGTGCAGTGGCTTGGGAAGTGAGACGAGCAGGAAAGGCTTTGCAAGGTTCTGTGTTGTTTTAATTTTGATTGCACTGAAGGATTTAGGAGTGAGTTGCTAGGGGAACCCTGAGCAATTGGAAGGGACTGAGAAGGTTAGCAATGAAAAGACAGAATAAGACAGACAGAGATGGACAGAGATTAGGGTCCAGGAAAGGACCCTAGGAGGAGGGAACGGCAGGACAAACCTTGTGGTACTGAGATTTAAGAGTGTGTCCGGACGGAGCATGTGTCCGAGGCAGTGGTCAATAAAATCCAGGTCAAGGGTCAGGGATAAAGGGGGTAAAGAGGGATATGCACATTGGGAACAAAAAAGTGTATGTAAAAACACAGATTTGTCCTTATTCTCTATATACAAAACTGTGTACAACTGGTATCTATTTATCTGTCTATCTATATAAATAAGCTAATGGTATTTGGATTGTGTACACATGATTCTTTTCTGCATGTTACAAACAAAATGTGTGGATATTTTACCTTCTTGAGTTTCTTGGTCTTGGCCTCCACCTCTTGTTGTAGAGAAGTAAAAGTGTCCCTCAACTCCAGTGTCTCTTCGTCTTGGACCAACATCTGCTGCTGCATCTCTCTCTCCTTACGCATCTGAAAGCATCAAAAAATGTCTCCTTTTTCTTCATCAGCATCTCCCTGAAATATCTGCAGTCATTTTGCATTTTTTATGGCATTCTGCAGGTTAACCTTAACTCTAAAAACTGCATCTGAATGGCAGCATTTTTAGTATTTCATGCTGCAGTTGAAGAGATGCTGAGTACGAGTTATAAGCCTCAGGACTGGGTCACACAGAAACAGACAGGTGTACCTGTTCAGCAATCTCCTGCCGTCTAATCTCAAGCATCTTCTGCTGCTCATTGGTGTGATCTATGATGTTCTTTCCACCGACCAGCAGCTTGCTCTCCATCGCCTGGAAAAAATGAACAGTATCTGGATTAATAATTAGGACAATGCTGTATTGTGTCCTTGGAACA